GGAAGAGGAGGAGGAAGAGGCGGAGGAGGAGGAGGAGGAGGAGGAGGAGGAGGAGGAGGAGGAGGAGGAGGAGGAGGAGGAGGGAGGGAGGAGGGAGGAGGAGGAGGGGAGGAGGAGGAGGAGGAGGAGGGAGGAGGAGGAGGAGGAGGAGGAGGAGGAGGATGAGGAGGAGGAGGAGGAGGAGGTGGTTGGACACCACAGATGTCCGGGAGAACTCCGGTCCGGGGCAACACGCCAAGCTGGGGCCCCCGACGCACGAACGAGGCGCTTCCGCCGATCCCCCCCAGCCCGGAGGATTCGAGTCTCTGACGCCCCTGAGTTCCGACGGCGCGAACAAAAATCGAAACATCGCAGAATACAAGAAAACACGGTCTGGGCTCTAGACCCCATCTCTCTTGCGGGCAATGTCTATGTACACATCCAGTGCGTCTTGGAGTTTCGGACTCTCTTCCCAAGAAACATGAGGCGCACTGGATATGGATTATAATCTGCCTCCAAAAGGCTCAATGTTTATCCATATGCAGTGCGCCTCGGCCTTGCGGTGCCCCTTCCAAGAAAGTCCAAGACGCACTGGATATGGATATACATATTGCCCGCATCTCTGCTGCACTTTCGAGCTGGATCGAGCCGTCAGGGTCGGAGGGGCCGAAGCTGGGCGAGAAAGAGGGTCGTGAGCAAAATCGTGACGCCTGGGGCTCTGATCGAAGATGACGGCGGCGGCGACGAAACGATCAGGATCGCCCAGGGCCCGTGCGTTTGCCCGCGTTGCCGGGCGCGCTCACGACGGCCACGAAGAGCAGGGCCTGCCTGGGGGCGGGGCGCGCCGCGGCCTGGGGCTGCGCTGCTCGCTTACATGTAAATATATATAGATATGTGTGTACGTATGCCTGTATGTATGTATGTATGTATGTATGTATGCATGCATGCATGTATGTATGTATGTATGTATGTATGTATGTATGTATGTATGTATGTATGTATGTATGTATAAATATATACATATATAGAGATGTACGTCTACATCTCTCTCTCTCTCTTTCTCTGTCTCTCTCTCTCGCTTTCTCTGCCGACGACGGTGGCGACGAGGGGGGTGGGAAGCCAGTACAGTCGGGCTGCTGACATAAGGAACGCTACACGAGAGCGAAGCCTCTTGTCGGTACCAGCAGAGCCTGGGTGCACGAGGAAGGCTAGAGGAACCACCACGGAATAACTTATAAGGAACAGCGGGCCCCTCCTTGCCAACCCCAAGCGGTCCATGCTTCAGAGTCTTGGCTGAAGAGGCCTCCCTTCAATTGGGGTCCGAGTTGATTCAGATGGTGTCGGAGGATCGCGCCGCATCGCCAATACGTCGCCGATGCATCGCCGATGCCTCGGCGACGACGGGGATGTATAGGCGACGTCCGCGTGAACACATCGGGCTCCAAACCGAGCTGAATCCTCGATGCATCGGCGATGGGAGGCTATCCTCCAACATCACCTGCTCGGTCCCCGGTTGGGAGGCCTGGAATTAGGAAGCAACTCCTGGGAGGTCGTCGCGAAAGTGATAAAAAGCTACGAAGCCTGCTTGAAGGGCCAGTGAGCTGGATGAAACCAGATGAGGCCCAAGAATAAGCCAGAGCAGGCCGAATATAGCTGGACAAGAACGGATTAGACCAATTTGGCGCAGACCACGGACACACCAGCGCCGACGCTGAACTTCACCTCCACTGGGCTGCATCCTAAAGTAAAGATGCCAGACGTGATCGCGTCGTGGAAAAATCAGGGGGGGAAGTCCAAGGCCGTGATTCCACTTCCGGGGCCCTCGCAGGGACCGGGGACGGTCAAGAACCGACTCGGGATGGAGAACCGGCCCCGGGGAGAGGGGCAGGGCCTCCGGAGACCCCACACGTTAAAACGCAAGACATCGGATGTCTGGGATGGCATCACCATCGCGAGGGGATCGAGGCATCAGGATCGATGCTCGCACGTTTGCGTCGGTCCTTCGCGGAGTTCCAGCCCAGGGGTGCTCTCTTCAGCAGCTGCGCCTCGCCGAGACCGTTCCGGGGGTGACCGAATCGTCCCGAACGGCCGCCGGGGATCCGAGATATTCTGGCCCGAAACCCAGATGCGCCAGCGGAAAGGCAGCCATCTCCATCACCCATCGCCAGCAGACAATGGTGCCAGGCGAATTTGAACTGGGGAGCGGGTGGGACCTGGAAGTGGAGGGGAGGAGCGCGAGGGAGATGGAAAGGGGGAGGGCGGAGGGGATGGAGGTGGCGGGAACAAGACCGAGAGGGAAAGGGAGGGCGAGTGCCAGGGGAAGAGGGGAGAGAAATCATGAAAGGGTAAGGACAGAGAGAGAGAGAGAGAAAAAAAAAAAAGAGAAGCCGACGGTGACGACGCTGGCGAGGAACGACGGCGAACGGCGGCTACCGATGGCGGACGTTCGCGGACGGCTCCGGGCGACGAGGCCACGACGGCGGAGCGACGGCGAGCAGCGGCCCGCAGGCAGCCGGCGGCGTCCTGGGCGGCGCGGGCGCCGCCGGCGGCCGCTGGGCCCGCAGCAGCAGCGGCAGCAGTGCGGCCAGCAGCCCCGGGGCGGCCATGCCGCTCGCGCGGGAGCCGCGCGCCAGCGCCCGGCGCGGTCCGCGCGCGGGGGCGCTCCAGCGCTGCCGAGGCGGCCCAGGCGAGGCCTGTCGTCGTCGCCGCCGCCGCTGTCGCCGGCGTCGTCGTCGCAGCCGCCGTCGTGGCGGCTGCCGTCGTCGTGTCGTCGTCGTCGTCCTCCTCCTCCTCCTCCTTCTTCCCCTCCTCGTCCACCTCCTTGTCCCCCACCTTGTCCTTGTCCTCCTCACCGTCGTCGTCGTCGTCGTCGTCGTCGTCGTCGTCGTCGTCGTCGTCGTCGTCGTCGTCTCCTCCTCCTCCTCCTCCTCCTCCTCCTCCTCCTCCTCCTCCTCCTCCTCCTCCTCCTCCTCCTCCTCCTCCTCCCCCTCTCGACTTTGCCTCTCCTCCTCTCGAGTCCCTCCCTCCCCCTCGGGCCAGCGCCCTTCTGCGGCTCATCCTTCTCCTGCCTCTCGTCTGTCCCCTTCTCCTGCTGGTATTCCTCCTCCCCTCCACCCCGCGCCTCCCCCCCGAGCGCGCGCTCAAGCGCGCGCGGGGGCCCTGCGCGCGCGGGGGCTCCGCGGGAGGAGGGGGGGAGAAGAGGGGGCGAGGGAGGAGGAGTAGGAGTAGGAGGTGGGGGGCGGAGGACGGGGAGGGGGGAGAAAAGAGGGGCGGGAGGAGGGGGGCGGATGGGGAGGAGGCGAAGGATGGGAATGGGGAGAGGGTGAGGGGGGCGGTAGGGATGGGAGGGGGTGACGGAGAGGAGGGGAAGAGCGAGGGTAAGGAGGATGGGGAGGGGGAGAAGGAGCGGGGAGAGGGGCAGGATGAGGAGAGGGGGAATGAGGAGCAGGAGGAAGAGGGGGAAAGGGCGAGGCGGAGGCCGCAGAGAAGGAGGATGAGGAGACGGAGGAGGAGGTCGGGCGAGAGATGGCGTCTCTAGAGCAGCCGGGAGATTTTGGCTGCTGAGGCCTTGCGGCACTCGGTTGGGTCCTCGGCGCCAGACGTCACAACCTCCTCGACTCGCCTGACGCAGAGGTCGGCGGGGAAAGAGGAACAACAACATGTTGGGGAGGATGAGGAGGAAGGAGGAGGAGGAGGAGAAGGAGGAGGATCGAGGAGGAGGAGGAGGAGGAGGAGGAGGAGGAGGGCGAGGCCTGTGAAGGACCAAACATGAGGTGTCGAATAGTTTCGAGTGAAGAAGGCAAGTAGGTGTCGAATCGCTGGTGGTCCATGAGCGGCCTTCCGCCGCGGGGGCGCCCACGTGGCCAACGGTTCTTCTAGGCGGCGTGCCCACCGTGCACAAGAGAAGGTCGGCAGCAGAAGTGCTTCACCTCATGGCGAAGACAACAAAAAACACCCTGTACCAAGAACGAGCGAGCATGAGAGAGTGGCGCGCGCGGGCAGCGCATCATCCCCCTGACCTCGTAAGGGTGCTGTTGCCTCCATCATCATCCCCACCGTTTCCACCCTTTCCATCCTCCCCCCTGCTCCTCGACAACCCCCCCCCCACCTCTGCCTACTCCATCCCTCTCATCGTTCTTCTGCGTATCCTCCTCCCCCCTCCCATCCTTGTCCCTCCTCCCTCCCGGGGCCCGTGGAGAGCCCAAGGAGGGCGGACGCTGCGAACAGGCCAGAACCCGTCGCCCAAGCATCGCCGCAGGAACAACCGGCCTGCCATCGCGGCTGTCCGAGGGCGCTTCCCTATGGGCATCTCCCTGCTCGCACAGCGTGGGCGAAGCGACCCTACTGGGCGACTCGCAGATGAGGGGCAACGTTGGGGGGGGGGGAACCGGCTGAGGGGGTGTGGGGGGGGGGGGGGGGGCTGACCTTGAGCCAGATGAGGCGGGGGTGGTGGTGGGGGGGGGCGACTCGCAGATGAGGGGCAACGTTGGGGGGGGAACCGGCTCAGGGGGTAGGGGGGGGCCTTGAGCCAGAAATGGCGACACGGCGCCGACAGATCGGAGGTATATATAGGCCCACGCCGGCAGAGCCGCGCGCTCGTTGGGCGGGGTGGGGCCAGCGGGCCCCCATATCGGCGACCAGTGGGCAGTCGGGGGGTCGAGGCATGCGACCCCCTGCGGCGAGCCCCCCTCTGACGTTTTGCCGCCGAGTGCGACGCCGCCCTCCGGGGGGCGCGCCGCGCTCCGGAGCGGGGAGCCGCGGAGGAGGAGGAGGGGGAGGAGGAGGAGGAGGAGGAGGAGGAGGAGGAGGAGGAGGAGGAGGAGGAGGAGGAGGAGCCGGGGTTTCGAGGCCGCCGCGGGGCGCAAGTGCCCGGGGGGGGCCTGCCGGGGGCAGCTGGGGCTGCTCGGGGGGCCTGTGGCCGTCCGTGCGCGACCCGACTCCTTGCCACCCTGAGCACCGCTTCCCTGGGCACGAGGCGGCAAGGCTCGAGAAATGAACTCGGTGCCGCGCTGCTGCTCCATCGCCGTCGTCGGTGACACCTTGCCGCCGTCTCGGGAGGTGAGCTGCTTTCTGGCCGCGCCTCCTGTCGCCTGTCGCCGCCCTCGCGGGGAGGCAGCGCTTGGCCGCGGGGGAGGGCGGGGAGGAACAGGGAGGAGGGAGGACGGGCGACGTGGGCTGAGGATGATGAGCAGCAGGCAGGGGCAGGACTCGGAGTCCAGGTCGGCCTCGCGCGCCCCCCGAAAGAGCACGAGTTCCAGGGGGCAGGACTGACAGGAGGAGGAGGAGGAGGAGGACGAGGAGGAGGAGGAGGAGGAGGAGGAGGAGGAGGAGGAGGAGGAGCAGGAGGAACAAGGCGAACGCCCTCGGAATAGTCTGAAGAAAAACACCAGCCGTGCCCAGGAGAAGGAGCAGGAGGAGGAGGAGGAGGACGAGGAGCAGGAGCAGGAGGAGGAGGAGGAGGAGGAGTATAATGAGGAGAGGGGGGGCAGGAGGCTCGAGGAGAAGTCGAAGAAACAGCGGCTGCCAGAAGGAGGACATGGGCAGGAGGGAATGAGGGAAGGTGGGGAAGGCGAGGTTGAAGCTGGAGATGGAACCCCAGGACGAACTCCTACCCCACATTCGACAATACCGTTTCTGACCTTTTTTCCGAGCTAGTTTTAGGTCGGGCATGTCCTCCTACAGGCGGAACTTGGAGGAACAATCAAAGAGTCAAATAATGATCACACATGATCGAGCAGTAAACGAAAACTCGTCCCAAGATCCTGTTTGTATTACTTTGAACATTCTTCCAGTATAGGGGACATGCCCGACTTAAAACGAGTTCGGCCTTCCTGGAAGCCTGGGGCCGTTGTCCACTGCCCTTTTCTTAGCACGGCCCAGACGACAAAATCGGGTCGGGGACGAGACGCTGCTACACTGCCCCCCATCTTCCAACAGATGGCTGACCCCCGTGCGCGACGCAGCTCGCGCAACACCGTGAGCCCACACCCTGATGGTAGGAAACGGGGGAGGACGTTTCGAGGAGGATTCGTTGATGTATCAGGGGGACGTAAGACCTGGGTACAGGGGACTCGGAAATCCCTGGCGAGGTCGTCAAACAAATGACGAGGCCGAACCTGCATTTTGACGAGGCCTCCCGCTGCAAACATCCCACGAAACTCCTCCTCGTCAAAATCCGAGGCGCGGTCGTCAAAAAACGATGGCGAACCCGAGTCCTGGCAAACCCGGGTCTTACGCTCCCCCGACTGTACAAGAAGGGCGGACAGGGGGGCGGAAAAAGAAGGTCGGGACCCGGACGTCCTTCGCTCGGCAGCGCCACCGGACGCGGGCGCGGGGGGTCGAGGAGGCGCGGGGGCGCGCCGGGCGCGCGGCGCGCGGAGGGGGGCCCGTTTGTGCAAAGTCTGGACTTTGTCTGTGCACCCCTGCTTGGAGTTCAGCCAATTGTATGCTGATCGCATTGTGGGCCCCGGAAACGGCAGGGCCGTTTTTTTCACCGCTTCCCAAGAAAATGTCCCTTGAACATGGAAGCGGCCAAAAAAACGGCGACCGGAAACGGCAAAAAAACGGCTCCAGGATTGGAGCTGGAGCCGGAACCGGTCAAAAAACGGCGACGGAACCGGTAAAAAACGGCAAAACGGAACTGATAAAAAAAAACGGCCCTGTCGTTTCCAGGGCCCACTAAGTGCTGAGGAACTCGGCTCCTCTCCAGGCCTTGTCTCACACAGCAGTCCAGGCCCAGACGTAAGAGAGCACTCGCTCTACGAAGAAACAAGAAGCTCAAAGAGAACACGCCAAGGGTGCGGCCCAACTTCTGTGACCTTCTTGGGCGACGTCTGGAGTCCACGTGCTGGAGACATCCCGCGCTGCTCCCGAGGAGGCCCAGGCGAGCGCGCGTCGAAAGGACCCCCCCGCCCCCAAGAGAAAAGCCGGGCGTGGCGCGGCGCGCTCGCGCGGCCGCAGCCCGCCGCGGGGACGGTCCCCCCCCCCCCGGGGCGAGAGGACCCCGAAGACAGCAGCCTCGCGGGGAAGGACAGCGATGCAGCCAGTTCTTCTATCCATATCCAGAGCGTCGTGGACTTTTTGGGAAGAGGTGCCGCAACGCCGAGGCGCACTGGATATGGATAGAATCAAGCCTCTTGGGGCCAGATTTTTATCCATATCCAGTGCGTCTACGGTTTCTGGGGAAGAGAGCCCAAGAATCCAAGGCGCACTGGATGTGGATATAACTATTGCCCGCAAGCGAGCACACATCTCAAGACACAGCCTGTTGCGTGAGCTTCGTGCTCGCTGCACGGGGCATATCCCAGGAGTCCCCAGCCCCGGAGCCCCAGGGCCGGCCTCCCCTCCCGAGCGGCCCCTGGACGGCCCGGCGGGGCCTGGCGAAGGGCCCCCGGGGGGGGGCGAGAATGGCCGACCACGTCGCGTGGTCCGCTTTGTTTTTTCGAGTTGTGGATCGACTACAGAATATCGAATCTGCCCCAAATTGACTACAGAATTTCGAATATGCCCCGATATCTAGTTGTGGATCGACTACAGAATGTTGGTTTACCCCAGAATTGATTCGCACATCGAATCTACGAAACGTGCGTAGACTGCCCCGCAGAGCACGCAAATTCGCTCGCGGATGCGACGTGCAACTCGATTTTTGGGGGTGCATCCGCTCTGCAGTCGACCCCCGACGCGGCGTCTGCACGACGCGAACACGCCTGGCTAGAATCAGGGCGTCTCGGGCCCCGAGATCCGACGCGGCGACAGAGTCGAAGCATCGTAGCACATCGCGCTCGGAGCCCTGGTCGGGAGCGGCCAAGAGGGGGGTGTCCAAGAGGGGGGGGTGCAGATCATGACCGGCGGCATGTGCGCGGCCCAGCGGGGGGACCAGGGACGTCATGAAATAAGAAGAGGCGCCATGAGATCTGGGGAAATGTCATGGCCCCCGCCATGATATCCCCCCCCCCTAGTCATCACCCCCCTCTTTTCCGGCCCCGATTCTGTATCATTTTTCGAGCCGGGTCGGCCTGCGAGGGCCCTGGGGCCCGAAAGAAGGCGAGAGCGCCCCGCTCGAACACACTGAGACGCCAGGATCTCAGGGTCCTGCCTGTTGTCCGACGCGAGCACGTCTGGGCAGAATGAGGGTGGCAGGAGAGGAATGGAGGGCAAGGCGAGACGAGGACGAGGGCGCAGAAGACGAGGAGGGGAGGGCAAGGCGCGACGAGGACGAGGGCGCAGAGGACGAGGAGGGGAGGGCAAGGCGAGACGAGGACGAGGGCGCAGAGGACGAGGAAGGCGATGGCGTGGAAGGGCGTGCGGCGCGGCCGCTGCTGCAGCGAAAAACTGGCGGGTGCCGCCGCCGCCCGAAGCGCGCGGCTGGGGCGGCGCTCGACCGAAGAGGCGCCAAGCAAGCGCGAAGATCCTCAGGTAAGACGAAGCCAGGACGAAGACACAATCAGGGGAGGATGGATCGAGAATCTCTGAGGTCCGGCGGCTCTGGCCGATGTCTCGGATGCCGCTCCAAACGTTCTGGAACGGATGTATCCTCGTCCTGGCCCTGTCCGCTCAGGGCCCCATGAACCAGGACACTGCTGACAAGGACCTTTTGGAAATTCCACCTGGGGAGAGCGAAGCATAGAGGATGATTCGGCCCCGGGGCTGCAAGGTTCCCGGGCGCGCCGACAAGGTGTCCTGCTCTGTCAGCGTCCCCGTTGAAGAGGGCCCTGCGATCCGAAAATCGAAGCGGCGCCAGGCCAGAGGGATCCAGGGAGTCCAAGCCTCTGTGGGCCCCGGAAACGACAGGGCCGTTTTTTCACCGTTTCCAAAAAATGCCCCTTGAACATGGAAGCGGCGACCGGAAACGGCAAAAAACGGCTCCAGGATTGGAACCGGAGCCGGAACCGGTCAAACAACGGCGACGGAACCGGTAAACAAACGGCGTCGGAACCGGCAAAAAAACGGCAAAACGGAACCGGTAACAAAAACGGCCCTGTCGTTTCCAGGGCCCACTAAGCTCTCCAGGCGTTGTCTCTCACACAGCAGTCCAGGCCCAGACGTAAGAGACCACTCGACGAAGAAAAGAAGCTCAAAGAGGACGCGCCCAGGGTCCGGCCCAAATTCTTGGACCTTCTTGGCGCGGATGCGAGGGCGCCCATGTTCCGTGGCGCGGATGCGAGGGCGTCCACGCGGGGCCTTGCGCGGGCAGCTCACGCAACCATGTCCTCGCGGCCGACCCCATGGCTTCTGCAGTCGGGGCGTTGACCTAAGGAACCCTAAATAAGGAACGAGGCCCTTTTTTTCCATAAATTAAACTTCGATTTCCGATCGAAAACATCAGGAAAACCTGAGGCAAGCTGTGAAACACTTAAGGCACGCGGAGCCCCTCCCCAAAGAAAAGGGTTCCTTCTTCAGGGCCCCGACTGTGCGCCGCCTAAGGCGTCCTCTGAGTGTCCACGCTGCAAGGGGACGTTCGACCACACGCCACCGTGGCCCTCATTCAGGCAGGCGTGGCCTCTGGATTAAGCGGCCTGACGAGGCCGCGGGGAGGCCAAAATCCAAGCGTGCAGGCCAGCGCTCGGGGCCCCCCTGTGAGCCCCCCGCACGAGATGAGCGACGATCGAGCACGGGTCATGCGCGAGATGACGTGGCGACCTCACGCGGCGGCTCACGCGGGCCGCCAGCGCGGCACGCTACATCAAAGGGCGAGGGCGCTCGCGCGCGAGCTTACGCCGCCCACTTCGGCGAAGACGGCCCGTTGTTTTTGTTGCGTCGCCCGAGTGTCATTCTGGCGAGGGTCGGCGGCGAGCGAGGGGGGGAAGTGAGCAGGAGGAGGCCCTCTCAGAAGGCGGCGGGGCCTCTCAGAAGCCCTCGCGCCCCCTGAGAAGCTCCCTGCGCCTTCGGGGAAGGCCTGCCCCCCCCCTGGCGCACCGCCGAGGAGGGTCACACTCCATCGCGTCGCCGAGGCGTGGAGCCCCTGCAGCTGGACACACACTCGGAGTGGGCGATCCAGGACAGGCCACGGAAGTCCCCTACCCTGGTGAATAGGTTTTCTGATGTGGCGTTTTGACGGTGAACGAAAGTCGGGCCGGGCGAAAGGGGGGGATAGCAAAGGGGGAGGGGGGGGGAGAATCAGCTCACGCAGCTGATCTTCCCGGCGCCTCCCGGCGCCGGAGGCGGCCATGCATCGAGGAACGGGCCCCTCGGTGAGGCCGAAACCAGCTGCATGCAGCAAATTTCGTCACGCCCCTTTCCCAATCCCCCCCTTTCGTCCGGCCCGAGAAAGGGGGGGGGAGATCTGGCTCCAGGCCTCTGCTTTGTGCGACTCTTCGGGAGATGTGCTCCCAGTGGGAAATCCTGCGGGGAGGCGGCGCCCCCGTGCTTGCCACACCTGCTCGAAACAGCTGCCCAAGACAGCCCAAAGCTGCTCCATGGGCGTGGGGGGAGGGGGGTGCGAGGGGCTACGCCGATCGGCAAAACAATGGATAAGAAAACGACGACCTACGAATCCCGGACGTCGAGTGGTTGGCACGCGGCTGGCCGCCGAGCAAGGAAGCAAGCAGCCTCCAGAAGCTCTGAGCCTTCGCCCGGCGCTGCTTTCTGAGGGGAAGCGTTTTGGGGGGGCCAGCCCAGGGGGGGGGGAAACATCGACCTGGAATTAAGTCGGGCCTGTCCCTCTACAGGGGGAGTATGCAAAAATAGTCAAAAAATAGTCTGGCGAGGGGCATTTTTCTGTATTTTTAATTTTTCGCCCCAAATCCCCCTGTACGGGGAAAGGCCCGACTTGAACCTGGACTGGACAACACATCGCCGATAGATCGTCGGGTTAGGCCCCCGATGGCGAATCCGGACGCTCCTGGTGGGGGCAAGCCATCGGGCGAACAGTGGGCGATTGGGGGTCGATGCGTCCCCCTTGGAGCCTTTTCCCCCCGAGCCACGGGGCCAGAAGTATGCACCACCGCCACCTCTCAAAACCCCCTCCCCTCCCAAGAAAGAGGAGGAGAACGCGAGGGTTTAGGACGGAGGGGGAGTGGAGGTGGTGGTGGTGCTTCTTTTTGGAACCCGTGCTAACGGTTGAGCAGGGACCGACCGTCCCGGCATTCCCATAGTCCTACCACGAAATGTTCTTGGAACCCCAAATTTTTCTAAGAACAGAGACAATGTTCTTAGAACATTAACCCGATGTGTTAAACCAAGACAGCCCCAACCAGAACCGTTCTGAGAACCTTTCGTGGAAACCACAGAAGGTTCTTAGAACACTGTTTGGTAGGGCTGTAGGCGAGCCGGGACGCCTCGCCACTACTTGAAACGGTGCCCCTGAGCTCGGACCTCCAGGATTGAAGGGTCCCTGGGACACACAAATACAGACACACGAACAGCAGGAGCCCACATATGTTCCTATATGTTATGTTTTTTTTTCTTGCCCCCCACTTCCCAGATTTTCCCATATTTTCGGAGGAATCGAGGAGTCATTGCGTCTGTGTGTTTTTTCCCCTCCTGAAGGATGGAGGCCGCAGCGCCTGCAGGGCCGCCCGCCTCCCGCGCGCAGAGAGGCCCTGGAGCCTCCGTGCGCCGGCGAGCATGAGGCGGGCAGGGCCGGGGCCCTGCGGGGCCCTCCGCGGAGGCGGGGAGCCTCTCGGAGGCGAGCGGCACGGGATCTCCACCGGAGCCCCGGACCCCACCTTCCGGCGTCCTGCTTGAACGCATGGAAAAAGCGAGCCCCGCCCCCCACGCGAGGAACTTCAGTATAGGGGGCAAACAAGCCTGCCTCGCCTTGGACCACCCTCGCCTCCAAGAGACACCAAGCGATGCCAAACTACGGCCTGTACTGGTCAGGCCGCTTGACGAGGAGGCGCGTGGTATGACTTGGTTTTGCCTGGAAGCGAAAGCGGGGTTGGTAATTCACGCTCTGATTCAGACCAAGTGTACGGCAGTGGCCCTGCTTACCAGGCGCCTGCACTCACGCACATGCGCCGCATCTGCAAGACGCTGCCACGTGAGACCAGCAGTTGTGGGGACTGGGGTCGGTTTTCCACTGCTCACATCTCTCGAGCCGCACCGATCGGTGAGGGCCCCGGGGCTGGGCGCCACGCGAAGACGCCCGACTCGCCATCGCATTTTTCGGTTTCTGGGTGCCCACTGGATGTCCCTTCCCGCCACCGGATGTCCCTTCCCTGTGTATTTTTCGGATTCGTGGGTGTTTTCTTGGCCCGATGGTCGAGGATGCGTCTCGATGGCCCCAGCCGAGAGAAAATGCACACGGCCGAGCGATGCCAAGCCGAGGCGAACAAAGAGGTGGCATGCCGCCAGGACCTCGGGGCACCCCCGGGGCCCTATGGAGCACGTGCGGACGCCCTCCCAGCGTGGCAGGGAAGGCAAGCGACTGTACGCTCTTATGTCGGGCGTGTCCCCCCCCCCAGGGGGGATCTTCGACAAAAGATTCAAAAGCAATGCTCCAAAGCTGCCCCAGAAGGGCCAGAACACAGTGCAAAAATAGTCCCCCGACTATTTTGTGTTATTTTCCTGACTATGGTTGGGGTATGTTTGATCAGAGTATTTTGTTTAATTATTTTTCTGACTATTTTTGGGGTATGCTTTATATTTCTCGTCGAGAATCCCCCTGTACAGGCCCGACTGAAGTGTACGCACGCGCCCCTTGGAGCCTGCAGACGGGGGCCGACCTCCGACCCCTGGGGGGGCGCCCTTCCCCCCCCCCCCCCCGATCTGGGAGGCACAAAGGGGGGGGCCCCCGGAGCTCTCCTGGCGCCCCCGTTCCTTCGGGAGCGGCCACGAAGGGGGGGGCGGCCAAGAGGGGGGGGGGTGCGAACCATGGCCGGCGGCGCCCCCCCCCCCCGATCTGGGAGGCAAGCTTGCGGGGGCCCCCGAGCTCTCCTGGCGCCCCAGTTCCTTCGGGAGCGGCCACGAGGGGGGCGGCCACGAGGGGGGCGTCAAGTCCTGATCGTCCTGAGCGTCAGGTCCTCCTCGTCGACTGCTGTGGTCCTTCAGTCGTCGCTGATTGGCCGTGGAAAAAAAAAGCGTCAAGTCCCTCCCACCCTTTCCTGTGCACTTCAACTTTGGCTTCGCCAGCCGTGGGTGCGCCGCGAAGCGCCTTCGGGCCAGCTCGCCCGAATCGGCTTTCCCCCCACATGGGGGCCTCCCTCCCCCCTCTCGGGAGCGGCCAAGAGGGGGGTGTCCAAGAGGGGGGGGTGCAAATCGTGGCCGGTGGCACGTGCGCGGCCAAAGGGGGGGGGCCAGGGACGCAATGAAATAAGAAGAGGCGCCATGAAATCTGGGGAAGTGTCATGGCCCCCGCCATGAGATCCCCTCCCCCCTAGTCATCACCCCCCTCTTTTCCGCCCCCAACCCTCCCTCCCCCCTCCCCAGGGTGGCCGGCAAGGGCCGCGCGGTGGCTACTGCGCCGCCGGGCAGGGCTGCATTTAACAGGGTCGGCGCTGCCCATCGAGACTGCGACATGATCCCCGCTTGTGGATCCCATGGCGGCCCCCAAGGGGCGTTGAGGTCCCCGACGTGTCCACCAGCAGTCGACCCTCTTCTCTCACCCACACACACACACCGTGGCCAAGACGGCCCGAGGCCAACAGCAAAAACGGAACAGCGTCAGAACCTCTCCTCCCCGGCCCCCCACCTTCCCTCTCCCCTCCCAGCGCTGCTACCCCAGACATCCGATTGTGTGACTCTGGTCGGCCCGCGGCTTGCAGAGATCCCGACCGCTTCCTCGGGGGTAGCGTCTTGCGCCACAGACGCGTTTTCTTTTCTCTGCGGCCCCAGGCCCAACGCCTAGGACGAGAATTACGTCACGGCGCGATGAGCTCCAAATGCGTTTCAGGACTGCCAGGTGCATCTCTATCGGCCCACGTCTCTGGAGGCCGTGCGGAGCAGTACGACATCCGGTATGCCCTGGTATACGCGACCTTGTCGTGACTCCTGGCTCCCCCGCGCAAAAAAAACGGCCCTCGGATGCCGAGATGAAAGGCAACACGCCAGGACAGGAGGCGGAGGAGGAGGAGGAGGAGGAGGAGGAGAGGAGGAGGAGGAGGAGGAGGAGGAGGAGCAGCAGGCACGTACTCACCCGGCACCCTCCCCCGCTCTGCCCGGCCGCCAGCAGACACTGAGCCGGCGGCGCCGCCGCCCGGGCGGGCGGCGGCTGTCGGCGCCGCCCGCAGGCCAACGAGGCCTGATCGCTACCGTCGGGGCGTGGACCTAAGGAACCCTAAACAAGGAACGAGGCCCCTTTTTCCCATAAGATAAACCTCGATTTCCTATGGGAAACCTCCGGAAAGCCCGAGGCAAACTTTGAAACAATCAAGGACTCCTTCCCAACGAAACGGGTTCCTTCTTCAGCGCCCCGACTGTATGCCCACGCGGAGCTGGGAGGCAGCAGTCTCGGGCACGCCCGGACGGGAAGGGGGCGAGGGAGAGGGAACGAAGAAGAATGATTTTTAATAAAGAGAATAGGGAGAGGAGGAAGAAACACAGGAGGGAAATCATATTAAGGAGATAATAGCAACCTTGATATCAATCACAACACGAATACTACACATGCATACTCATCATGTAATGGTAAAGATCATACAAATTAAACACATAAACATGAGAACACACATCATCATAACTATAAAACCCAAACATGAAGCTGTCGGGGGACCAAGGAGAGTTCCTGGACCGGCGCTGCACCCCTCCTGCCTGTCCCGCGAAGCGCGCTGGAGGCACCGCCACAGGGGTCAGCGCAGGTCCAAGGAGTCCGCGCGGAACTCCGAAGACTTCTGCGTGTGCCGATGCCTCTCTCTGCTGACATGGAGCGAGCAGGTGGCGGCAGCCAAACCCGACAGGGCAGGTTTTAATACATGGGATGTTTAAACAATTTGATTTTAATACATGGTTAACTTATGAATGCATTTCTGCATGAGCTCATCGTTGTTTTTCGTACTAAATCCCTGGATGTTGCACGCATGATCCGCACGCGGAGCATGCATTAAAAACGGCGCTGTACCCCCACCGACCATCCAATTCGCCTGGATCGATCGGGGGCGGGGGCAGGGCTCGGATTTGTCGTCCCTGGCCAGAGGACTTCCGAACCCCGGGCGCGGCCGGTCGCCGAGGGCACTGGCGGGCAGGCAGGCCCAGCGCAAACAAGGACTTGCTCGAAACGCACGCGCGCACAGACAGACACACACACACACTCACACGTAGACACACACACACACAGACACATGCAGACAGACACACACACAACTACTGTTGGCGGCCTGCCCCTCAGAAGCTGGGGCAGAGACCCAGACATGTGATCGACCGTGCTACCCGCGTGCCCAGGCCTGGACGGCGGGAGAGGGCGCAGAACCGACGGTGCCCGGCGCGGCGGAGGACGACGAGCGGGGGCGCAGGGCAGCCGGTGTGGACGTGCACGGACGAGGCTCGCGGCGGCCAACGAGCCAGGCGGCGGGCGCCCGATGGGAAAGGCGCACACGCACTCACGCGCGCGCACACACGCGCGCGCACACACACGCACTTTCTACGCCGCAGGGCGGCAGAAGGCGATCCGCACGCGCGATCGGGCGAGACCAGGGCACGGTGTCGCTACCATTGCCCGCGCGCCAGGAGGGAGGGGAGGGAGGCAAGGGATGCGGCCGCGGGAGGAGGGGCCAGGCGCCGGGGGCGCTCACGCAGCGGGGCGCGCACACACACGCGCGCAAACGCGCAAGCACGTGTTTTCCTCCGAAGTGCGGGTGACGCCATCACAGCGAGCGGGGCTGCGCTCGGCGACCGTGCGCGAAGTGAGATGCTGAGAGCCAAGCGTGCAGCGTGCATGGAGGACAAGCCCAGACACGAAGCGGGAAGCCAACCACACACAAGCAAGTGACCTTGCCAGCCGTCTCGGTCCGCACTTGCTGCTGCTGCTATTCCGCCTGTGCTCCTGTGCCCCGCGCTGCGGCAGCGTCCAACACTCGAGCGACGAGCGTTCAGCAGCGAGCCACCCCGGAGAGCGGCGCGAGTGGCAAGGCCGCAGGCGCACGTGGCGAGCTTCAAGAGCGAGCGAACCTAGGAGCGCGTGAGCGGGGTGAGGCGAAAGCAAACTTTGAATGTGATCGATCCCCTCCTCCTCCTCCACCTCCTCCGCCTCCGCCCTCTCCGCGGCCCTCTCCTCCTCTCCTCGTCCTCCTCTTCCTCCTCCCCCTCCTCCTCATTCTTCTCCTCCTGCTCCTCATCCTCCTCGTCTTCCTCCTCCGCCGCCACTCTTCTTCGAGCCTGTTCGGGTCGGAGGGCAGCGACGTGGATGCGGTCATGTCAGAGGACTGGGGTGCACGCAAGCAGCAGTGGCACGCTAGCGTCGGCACGGCCTCTGACGTCAACAGGGCGTGTAAGAGCTGGCAGGCGGCAACATGCGGAATGGTCCGTGCGGCAGCAGCAGCAGGAGGAACGTCGGAGAGGACAAGGGCGAGACCAAAATGAGAGGCGGACGAAGATGGGAAGGACGAGGATGTGGTGACGAGAGAGATGATGAGATCGACAAGGTGAATGAGGAGGAATCTGAGGAGGATCCGGATCATGTGGAAACAGTGAGGGGAGGCGAGTGGAGGGCGGGGGGTAGCCCAGGCGAGATGGTGCAAGGGAGAGGAGAAGGACGAAGAGGAGGAGGAGGACGAGGAGGAGGAGGAGGACGACGACGAGGAGGAGGAGGAAGACGACGAGGAGAAGGAGGACGAGGAGGGGAGAAGCAAGAGAACAACAGTGAGCCCCGAAGGCAGAGCTGCGCAGAAGCGATCGCGCCGCCTGTACCTCACGCTGCAGAGGCCGAGGCGGCGGAGGCGGCGGCCCGGACGAAGGGTGCCACGGGCGCCTCGGGCGCCGTGACCGCCGCCGCCATAGGCCATCCGCCGAGGCTTCTCGGCCACCGCCGCCACTGTCGCCGCCTGGCGCGGCGGCTGCCGTCGGGCGGCTGGGACGCTGGTGCCGCTGCTGCAGGCCGTCCCCACCGCCGCCGCCGCCGCTGCACGCCCTCGCCGCCACCACCGCTGGCGCCGCCGCCGCGCTGCAGGCGCGTCGCCGCCGCCGCCCACGCCGGCGCCGGCGCCCTCGCGTGGCGGGCATCGCGGCCGCCGCCGCCGTCGCTGGCGTCCCGTGCCGCCGTCGGGCGGCTGGGCCGCCGCCGCCGCCGCTGCCCGCCCCGCCCGCCGCGTCGGCCGTCGCCGTCGCCGCGCCGTCGCAGGCGACCAGCGACGCCGCCGGCGGCTGGGCCGTGCTGCCGCCCGCTGCAAGCCGACGCCGCCGCCGCCGCTGGCGCTGCCGCCGCCGCCGCGCCGCCGTCGGGCGGCGGGGAGGGCGCCGTCGGTGTCGGCGGCTCAGGCGCCCCTCGAAGCGGCCGCCAGCGGGGCGGCCGGCGCCGCAGTGCCCGCGGCGTCGTGCGGGCGCTCGTCGGGGGGCTGGCGGAGGCACTCGCCCCGCTCCTCCTCCTCGACGGCCTGGCGCGGATCGGGCCAGCCTCCTCCTCCTCCTCCTCCTCCTCCTCCTCCTCCTCCTCCTCCCCAACCTCCCCTCCTCCTCCTCCTCATCCCCTCCTCCTCTCATTCATTCATTCATGGGCATTAAGAGGTCAGCCAAATCCAGGCTCGCCTGACCTCGGGAGAAAGATTAGTCGGAGTCGTCCGAGACCTGCCCTGGGACCATAGGCGGGGGGCCCCTGGCCCCTGTATGGGCCAGGGTGGCCCTCGCTCCGCGGGGGGAGGTGGCGCCGTCGGCCTGGGGCCCGAACCTTCCTCCTCCTCCTCCCCTCCTCCCTCCTTCCTCCTCTCCTCCTCCCTCCTCCTCCTACCTCCTCACCTCCTCCTCCTCCCTCCTCCCCTCCTCCTCCTCTCCTCCTCCTCCTCCTCCTCCTCCTCCTCCACCTCCTCCTTGGCCCCCGCTTTGATCGACGGTCCGTCTCCACCATGCCCCTTCACCTGCTCCTGCTGCCCGTTTGGCAAAACTTGCTGCAGGTGCGCGCGGACGTCCTTGGATCTGCGCTGGACCCCCCTCCCTAGCACGCGGAGGGCGCCGCCGGGGGGAGGCCGAGCGCCGACCCAAGAAACCCGCGCGGAGCTCCAAAAGCTCACAAGTTTCTGCTGCTGCTTCGGAGGAGCAGGAGAGAGAAGGGAGGAGGAGGAGGAGGAGGAGGAGGAGGAGGAGGAGGAGGAGGAGGAGGAGGAGGAGGAGAAGGAGGAGGAGGAGGAGGAGGAGGAGGAGAAGGAGGAACAAGAGGAGGAGGAGGCCCTCGATCCTCCTCTCAGTCCTCCTGGGCCCCTCCTCGCTCGTCTCCGTAGGCACCTGCCCTCGTCCCACGGTCGGGCCCGGCCAGCGGCAGCGCAGGCGCGCGACCAGCGTCCCCCCGTCGAAGGGGGCACGGGAGCGGCTCCCGAGCCTGCCCGCGGGGGGCCGCCCACGGCTCCGCGGGGGCCGCCCGAGCCAAGGCCGCGCGAGGCCCAAACCCCCTCGGGCCACGAAAACCTCATGACGGGAGGTTTCCTTCTATTTTCGGCCTTTGGAGTCCCTCACCGGGCCTCGGGACCGTCAAAAAACGACTCAGGTTGAAAGACCGGTCCCAGGGAATGGGTCGAGACCTCTGGGGGACGACGTCACGAAAGAACCATCACCTCGGAGGTCTGGGGGGGGAGGGGGCCCGAACGCCTCGCCCCGGGCCTCCGAACTCTGGTGAAGAATCAGCGCGGCCGCTTCCCTTCCTCTGCCGCTTCCCTCCTCGCCCTCCCGCCGGGCGGCGAGCAAGGGGGGGGGGGAGAGAAGGAGAAGGCGCTCTCAGAAGACGGCGGGGCTTCTCAGAAGCCCCCGAGCCCTCCGAGAAGTGCCCCGTGTGTGGTTCTGTGGGAGGCTTACGTAGAGGACCTCTCCGAGGGCCGAGGGGCCTCCGAGCCTCCTGAGCAGGCGGGCCTCGCCTCGCTTCCCCCCCCCCCCCGGGCTCGCCGCCGCTCCCGGGCCGCCACCCACGGCGCGGCTGCCGGCGACGACGACGCCCGCGGCGCCGCGAGTCGCCGCGGGGCCGCCCCGGGGGCCGCAGGAGGCCGCGGCGAGTAGTGGCCGAGGGCCGCCGAAGGCTGCGCGGCCGAGGAGCCCCCCGAGGTGCCGGCGCCTCCGCGTGTCTCCGAGCCGGGCGCTGGCGCCCTATAGGGCGCCAGCTATATATATATATATATATATATATATATATATATTATATATATATAAATATAAAAAACAGATCGCTCGTGCTTGCGCGCCACATATATATATATATATATAGCTATATGTCGATATAGTTATGTATATATATATGTATATATATAGCGATATATGTATATATATATATATATGTATATGTATATATACATATATATATATATATACAGCTGCTATATAGCTGCGGGCCCCGGGGCCCGTCGACAGGTGGGCCCAGCTCGACGGGCAGGAGGGGGCAGGCGGGGTCTGGGGCTCTGGCTCGAGGGAGGCATCGGCTGCAGTAGTGCGGGATGACGATTAAGAAAAGAATGGGAGAGAACGATTAAAACACATAGTTTTCTGATATGTCTGCACAATTTTCTGACTGGAGGAGAACGGTTTTAAACATCTGTTTTTTCCAGCCCGCGGCCAGTTTTTTTCTTATCGTCATCCAGGGCTTCTGAGAAGGAGGTTGCGTCTTAGATGGCGCCGGCCTTATACATCTACACATAAGGCCCGCGCCTTCCAAGAAGCAGGGGTGCTTCTGAGAAGCCCTCCCCCCCACGCAGGAGATGGTCGCGGGTCTACGGACATTCGATGTGTGTGTGTGTGGGCTTGTGGATTCGGCGGCGCATTCTGAGGTACAGCAACTCTGCAGTCGATCCTCTACTCGACTGGTGGTGACTTCTTCGATGGTGCAATCGATCCCGCGCCGTCGGACCCCCAGGGATGCCGCGGCGGCAGCGGCGGCGGACGGCGGCGCGCCTCGGTGATCGCTCTGCCGGCCACGTCCGCGATGGCCCAGAGCAGCCCGGCGTAGAGGAGCCCGCCGAGGACGTAGGCGTAGGTCGGCAGCTTGGCCTCGCCGGTCGTCGGCGGCGGCGGCGGCGGAGGCACGGGGGGGGGACACAATTTGTGATTCGCGGGTCGAGAGCGCGCCTCTTCCGGTCGAAGCTAAGCGGGCCGCGTGAAGCTTGAATTAACAAAGAGGGGAAGGAAGGGGGGAGAGCAGCCTCAGGGCGAGGCCGGGAGGAGGCAAAGCCTCGGGATCAGGTGGCGCCGAAATCGACGTAGGGTGGGGGGGACACAAGGGCGCCTAGCTTCGCGCATCGTCCTGCGCGAAGCGCGAGTGACTGCGCGCTCTCGCGCCGCCCCCCATGGGGAGAAGCGGAGGGTGAGGAATCGGAGCCGAGCGGCGAAGCGCGAAGAGCTTCGCGCACCTCGAGCGCGCCCTTGGAAAGGGGGGGGGGCGCAGGGAGAGAGCAGGGGGGCGCGGGGGTGGCGAGCGGGAAACCGGTTCAGGTCGGCGGCGCCAAAGGTGCGAACGCTGTCAGGCGCCGGTCGGGCCTAAAGGCGGGCCGCGACGAAATCGAACTGGAGCACGAGAAACGGGAAACAGGGAGGGGCGGGGGGCTGGGGGACGGGGGGGGAGGCGGGAGGGAAGAAAGAGGGAGGAGGGGGGAGAATCAGGAGGGCGTGGAGAAGGAGAGGCAGAGGATGGAGGTCGGCAGCCTGGCCTCGTCGGAAAACAGGTCCTTCAGCACGGTGGCCGAGGAGACGATGGCCAGCGTATACGGGACGTTGCCGAGGAGCGTGGCCAGGAGGAAGTCCAGGTAGCTGGCGGTGCTGGCTCCTCCCCCCAGCCGCCGCTCCCTTCGGAGGGGCGGAGGAAGTGATGGCTCTCCCCCACCTCCTCCTCCTCCTCCTCCTCCTCCTCCTCCTCCTCCTCCTCCTCCTCCTCCTCCTCCTCCTCCTCCTCCCTCCTCCTACCTCCTCCTCCTCCTCCTCCTCCTCCTCCTCCTCCTCCTCCTCCTCCCTCCTCCTCCTCCTCCTCCTCCCTCTCCTCCTCCTCCTCCTCCTCCTCCTCCTGCTCCTCCTCCTCCTCCTCCTCCTCCTCCTCCTCCTCCTCCTCCCACTCCTCCTCCTTGTATGTGGGCCCCACCATCCTGTGGATTGTGTTGAAGAAACAGCGCCCCGCGTCTCTAGCTCCTTCCTTCCTCCTCCCCCTTCCTCCCAGCTGCTCCAAGGACTCTCCGCACCACGCAGCACCCGTGTACTGTACCGCGCTCACTTCCATACTACACTGCATTCTGGTCTGCCCAGACACGACCTCGGATCGGAAACGTCTCGGAACGTGTCGCCCGGGGAGCCCATGCGGTCTTTCCTAAGACTGACTGTCTAAAATCCCTGTCTCTCGTGAAACACGAACGACCGATTAATATCTGGCGAGAGCTACATGCAGACATTATTAGATAGGTTGGCACCCGACCGCACACACGATTCGCGGCCACATAGGGAGCTCCAGCTAAGGCCTGAATGCAAGGACCTACCTGTATGGCATAGGTGCCTAAATTCGGCACACCTCTCACACGCTTCGTGGCCACATAGGGAGCTCCAACTAAGCCCCAAATGCAATGGTTCGCATGGCGTCGGCTCCTCATGTCGGCACACCCCTCACGTGGTTCGTGGCCCCATAAAAAGCTCCAGCTAAGGCCCAAATGCCAGGGTTCGCATGGCGCCGAAGGCGATACTCACAACGACGGCACTCACAGCTGCATATGGTTGGGTCCTTCGCCAGGGTAGATATTGTCTGATAGTTATTACTGTTCTGAACTAGTTCTTAAACATATTGTCCGTGCCCGGCCGCGAGCGGGTCGCCCCGGGCACTGGCCATCGAATTGGCTTAACGCAGCCAACCAATACGCAATACGCAATATCAGATGTTCCCG